ATTTAATTTTTTGCGCATTTTGAAAAGTTCGATGAAAATTCACTCTACAACTGGATGGAAACACGATTATAGATGACCCTCAGGAGGGAGGAGAGGAGATTAATCTGCAGTCAATCCGGTACTCCAAACTCCAGTTCTGAATTAGCTGAGCTAAAATGTCTTCAGCTACAGAATAAAAGTCCAGTTTTTGGTTTTTAAKACTTTTTAAACTTTTGCCAGGTCCTGGATGGACTGAGACTCTACGCCTATGCCTTCAGCTGAACTGCATGTTTATTTTTCAGCTCTTTGATGATCACCTTGTTGAATTGAGTTATGTTTGGTTTTTTCCTCAGATTCTGATAGAGAAACTGGAACAAARTGTGTTTTTGTGACAGACAGCTGGAACAAAGAGTGTAAAGATCCAGTTCTGACTCAACACAAGTCTGGTTCATCTCTTGAGTTTGGGATCTGTGCTGTGAGGCAGCATTGCTCATTTGAATTATTACTTTTGTACAAGATGGAACATGTGAGGATTTTAGTCTTTAGTAAATTGACTTTATATAACAAACTTTTACCAACTCTAATTCAAACTGAAGTACTTTCAAATTTGTTTTTGGGTTTTTCACAGAAATAAAATATCTGATCACTTAGAGAGCTGCAGTAGAAACTGGATTTAATTTTTACAGGAATAAGTTGAATAATTTAGCAAGTCTTCTTGTCATTCACAGGACATCAGGRAAATTCCAACAAACCCTCTGTTTCAGGGGAGAAATGTGCTTTTCAATTTGGAGCCTATGAACCTGCACACCCTGAGGTCTCAGCTTTGTAGTACAGTAAAAAAAAATGTAAATCTGGATATGTTGCTTCATTTTTAAGAAGGTCCTCATATATTGTTTGCTTRTCATTTTTCTTCTGTTTATTTATTTATTTATGTTTGTCTCTTTCTTCTGAAAAAGATGCAGGCGTGCATAAATAAATAGATAAACAAATCCTCCCCTGCAGCTGCTGCCTGCAGTGTGATCACAGCGCCATCTAGTGTTTCTTTGCACAGTTTTAAATTAAACGTGGTTTGTTCCACCAGGTAAGAGTTTTACATTAACTTAACTAAACATGTTTTTAACATGTGAGAGTAAAACTCTTCATAAATTAAATGTAACAAAATGCATCAATAATAATAAGGTTATATGAGGTCCAAATAAAACTGGAGACAGAAACAAAAGAAACATCATCTAAAGTCTAAATATAAAATCATATTCAGAATGTTTGACTGGAGATATTCTCACGCAGCACAAAATTCATCAACTTCAAGGAAAAAATTTTGAAAAAAAAGAAAAAAGTCCAAATCAGATGGAAGCAATAATATATACAGTTTTATATTTGTTGCTTTTTATAATGTATAAAATACATTTTTAAGTTTATTTGTTTAAAAAACAACATAAATTCAATATACAACAAGAGTACAAATCATATATTAAATGAAATGAAAGGAAGGTTTATTCAGCTGTTTTATTCACTCGTATATCAAAGAGATTCGGCCATTACAGGTATTTCTGGTTTTTGTGACTTTTTTTTTTCAATTTCTGCTTACTGAAACTAAAGGAAAACATTTCAAATCAATGAAAAATGTTTTGCTCTTTAAAAGCTGTTTTAATCACTACATTTTAGCTTATAGCTACTATTTTGTTAACTCCTTGTTTGAGTTACTGTTTCTGCTTTTACTCATTTTAGCTCTTAGCTGCTGTTTACTTGTTTAGCTAATGCTTTGCTAAGTTCAGCTTTGAGCTACTATTTAGTTTTAGATTTTAAATACTGATTACTTTGTTTTTGCATTCATTTGACAAAGATTAGAATTTTACCCTTTATTTAACTGGTTTAATTAGATTTTAGCTTAGATTTGACTCATTTTAGCTTTTGTGTTTTGCTCATTTTAATTTTAGATCATTTTGATTTAGGCAATTCAGTTTCAGCATTTTTAGCATTTTTAGCCCACTTCAACCAATTTTCCCAGCACTCACTATCCACGCTGCTCCTGCACTACTTCCAGTAAATAATTACAGCTTTTTTTAAATGATTGGACTCGGTTTATATCTGTGGATCAGTCCCAGTTTTGCCTGTTGGGTCTAACATTAATGAAGCCTTTAACAAAGAAACTGATCATTTAAACAAAAAGTCTGAAACAGTTTGGGACATTCAAAGTTTTCCTTTAAAAAGTGTAAAGTTGGGTCTGCAGGCAGTGACTCAGTCACAAACAACTCAGCCTGTGATGGTATTCTGATTTTATCTTTTAKAGTGATGTAACAAGTTTCTTTCAGCATCGTTTCAATGATTAACAGACAGGAGAGAAGAATCTGATGTTTGAATAAATTAAAACCAGGAAGTGCTCCTTTATCATCACTTCCTGTTTCACTGGAACCACTCAGAGTTCATTAATCCAGTTATGTGATGAAATGGAATTATTGTGAAACATTTCTGAAATATCAACATGTTTTCCACCAGCACAGGTAGTTTGTAGGAAATGCATGCCACAGGCATATAGACATACGTTTTTTCAGAAAAACGTCTTTTATAAGTCTCCATGAAGGAAGAGAGCAACATGATTTTAAAGCCATCAGATTTATAATGATAATAAACCAGTCAGGTAAAAAGCATCCTTTCAACAGTTTTCAGAAATAAAACTGTTAACTAATATTAGAGTTTTGAATTCAGCTGAACTAATTTGGAAATTATCCAGTAAACTGATTGTTTTTCCCCTGTTCTTCTTGTTTAAAGCTGATTCAGAAGTGCTTTTGTTTATGCAGTCTGTTTCTTTAAACGTTGTGCTTTTTTAGGCACTTACATCAAGTTCAGCTCATTTTATTCATTCATTCTTTCATTCATTCATTTTATTCGTTCATTAAAATGAGAAGAAAATTTGATATACAACAAGAAACAAAAC